AGGGTTTTCCACCCGCCTCTGCATTCTTGTTTTCGTTCTCACGCCGTCTGGATTGAGAATTCCACAGAGTTGCGTTGCCACTTGCGTCAAAGTTCACCCAGTCCATCAACCAGCTTCTGGCGAAGAGGAGGCGTCAGAGTGATGGTACAAAGCGCAACGCTCTCTTCTATGATCTAAAGGGGAGGCCAATCGATTGCAGGGGAAGCCGCATGTCTCCATTCTTGTTTATCAGCTAGATATCTCCACACCAGATCCGATCAGTTGTACTCTGCACCAACTCCCCGATTTTCCACCATGTAAGTCACCAGCTTCATAATTAGTTTCAATATTTCTCTTCTTGATTACTTAGCTGACTGTTCCTTTTCTTTTTGTTTTTTTTTTATGGACTAGCTAAGTATTTCCTGATTAAGATGAATGGTTTGCTTTGTTTTGCTACCACTACAGACGAGATCAAGTCCAAACCAAAACCGAGGAGATCAAGAATCCTTGAAGGCATTTTCGGATTGATTCTTTTTTTATTTCATGGACCAATAATATTGTACAGTAGTATTTTCTGTATTAATAGTTAACAATTACTTATTTGTAGTATTTATATTTTCTATTTTTTATTTTATTTTCACAAGAATGTTGGCTAATTGCCGATGTACTTTATATAATCAATTGCATTTTTTTATATAGATATTCAAGTTCTTTTGTCCATAGGTCATTTTATTTGGGACAATTCCTCGTCTCCGAAGACACGAGTTAATTGACTGCCATTTTACGACTGCCATTTGAGGATATGAGACGACATGTCAATCCTAAACAGGAAAAAGGGACATCAAACTATTCCTATATAGCAATCACATTATTCTTGAAATGGATTACATGGGACAACATTTTGTCCATAGAGATAATATTTAGGGGACGACCTATTATCACCAAAGACGTTTATGGGGACGACATGTTGTCTTACATGGAAACGAAACAAGATGACAACTCGTGAGTATTAGGGACGACTGTCGTCTCCAATATTAGAGACGATCTAAATTATTTTCATCCCCAAAAGAATAGAGGACAAGCGTATAGGGGACGACCTATTTGTAACAATGCAGCCGAAAATTCATCTCCTCTATACTCACTGAAGTTGGAGATTAGGGATATATAGTTACCACTTAATTACATTACCAAACAACTAAAGGACAAATAAGTCCTTCTACATCTTAAGTAAGCTAGCTAGCTGCAGTTGGCAATGATATTTGACTTCTCCATTTAAAAAGAGAAAGAGTCCCGTCCCCCCATTTTTTTCTGAAGCCCCGCGGTCGTCGAGTTGTTCCCTCCGGCCGGCGCTTTCCAGTGCTTTTGGTGGTGGGGCTAAAGCAGAAGAGGGAGGAAAAGAGGGATAAAGCTATAGGTTAGGGCGTGTTGGGGATTGATAGTTTTTTTTTCTTTTTTTTTTCACAAGGGGAAATAACTACAAGGGATCGATTTGTTTCAATTTTGCAATGATAGATGTTATATATATATATATAGAGGAGAGGACGTGATGGTAATCATTCCATAGGTGGGGGGAGGAGCTCTTCAGGTTTAGGTAGCTTAAGCTAATGCCCTGTTCACTTCCATTTTCGTTTCCTGTTTTCTGTTTTCATGTGATAAATTTGGCAACCGAAATGAGAAAACTTGTTTACTTTTCATTCTGTTTTCTATTCGTTTCCAGCTATGAAAACAGAAAGTGGCAACTTCCTGCTGTTTTCGGAAACGTTAAAATGTTGTTTTCACCTGTTTTCAACATCTGTTTTCTCAAAAACAGGAAATAAGGTTTCTCCAAAACCCTAGATATACAATTGACTCTCTCTTGTAAAAATGTCGGTCGGACACAAAACATGTCGGTCGCCGACTCGCCGGCCGACCTCTATGTCAAGGAAAGACTATGAAAGGGAACAGATCAGGTCAGTAATCTTATGGTGAGTAATCATCAGTAATCCGTCCACATCAGCATCCCTCTCTCTTCTGGAAGGCCTTTAATTTTCCCCTCTTTAATCTTTAACGGATGATCTCTCACTCGCTTGAAGTCGATTTTTTTTTGTACAGTTAGATCAGATTAATTGTGCTCTTCAAAATGATATCCACTTTGATATATTTTTCGAACAAAAAATAATTGAGCCATTTTTTACCACTCTATACCATATGGTATTGACTGGTATTGAAATAAGAACATACCTATGGTTTGAAAAGCGTACCATGGTGGTATGAACAAACAAGACTGTAGGATGGTTGGATACATGATAATAGAAATATATTAACTGTCATTTACGACTTTTAACATTGTGTACCACAAGATACCACCATGTACCAGGGTGGTATTGTATGGTATTGTGTGGTATTTTTTGGTCCTGTAATTTGTTCACCCAGAAATTTGTAGATCCAATAGATCGTGATGAACTCGTTCCTTCTCTGCAAACGTTTTCGAAAACGAATTAAAAATGAAGAAGATACCATATGGTATGCAGTTGGTACCGAGAGGCAAGAATTTTTTTACTAAAAAAATATTGAAAATGTATCTCATTTTATAAAGCACAACGAACTCGTTCCATTTGTGCAAAAAAATTAAAATCCGAGTTAAAACGAAGAAGATATGAGCCGATTAAGAAAGCTAGGAAAAATAAAAATAACCTTTAATTCTCCATTCTTAGATCAGAATAATTATGCATCCTATCTTGAGCCATATAACGGGGAGGGGGGAGGAGGACGGAATTATATTTTGTTCATTTGAGGAGGTAAAGTAGTGGGAAATAGGAATGTAAAGGTTGGTTCCAATTTAATCATTTTAATCATCTGATTTATGTATTATGGTTTTGAAAATGCTTAATTCAAATTCATCTAATAGATTTAGAACGCTAATGAATAGTGTAAGATTAGGTCGGGTTCTAATTTTGACTGGAAACAACCCAACAACGGTAAGAAGAAGAAGAAAAAACAAGTATTTTCCACCATAAAAGAAAGACTATAACTATTAAAATTATGACTATTTTTCACTTGAAAAATGCATTAGGTTAGCGAGACTACGAGGAAAAAAATATGATAATAATCCTACATGTATGAAATAAATATGTTTTTGAATACCAATAGTTAGAAAAGTAGTTGTAACATGGGTTGAGTCGGGTTCTACGAGTTGCATAATCCAAAACCCCCACCCAACTCAAAAGAAACAATTTCCACAAAGAAACAAAAAAATATGTTACCCAACCTTGAACCTTATTTTGAGCAGTAAATACAGGTGGGTTGGGTCAAGTTGAACAGGTGGTTCGAGTTGTGATTGTTTTTTGTTCATTCCTAGTGAGCTATGTACAATTCTTTTTTCGTAATAGATGATAGTATTTTACGTAGTAAATACTCACAATTTAACCCAAATTATTTAAAGTACGACTAAGTTATTGTGAAAGGCTTTCACAACAAGTCTGATTAAACTGTTACGTATTAATTTTATTTTCTTTATCATTATTCATACATTTAAGCTCTACTCAATATGTATTTGTTGTGTATATATGTTAGCCTTACGGAATAGATCCTGTTTTTAATGAAATGAATCTTGATCATAGGGTAAATATTTTTGCAAATACTAAAGTCTGGTGACCGTTTTTACTAGTGACCACAAAGTCTAGGTAACCATTATTATGAATTCGATATATTCACCATATGTTATTTTGACACGACAACATGTGTATGACATATGACCCTAAATAAATTTTCATTTTTCTGATGGATGTGGAAAAGATTCCAGAATATCTATGAGTCTGTGGAATAATTGTGAAACTCTCCATTGGAGGAGGGAAAGTTTCCGAAATTCCTCACTAGAAATCAGTAGTTGTAGGAGTTAAGTTGGTTGGACATCTATATGAAATAATTGGTGTACACAACTTGATGATCACATGGTAATAGTAAGTTGGTCTACTAGACAATTCTATGAGTGATTGTTAGAAGGAAGAAAAAAAAATTGAAAACAACCCTTCAGAAATTTCTTCCATACCATCAAACTAATGGAAGAAATATGCATATATATATATATACGTTCATCCATTGAATAATTGGAGTTCAATGGTGTTCATAACCATATTTCTAGTACATATCCTCCATGGCTGGATTAGGTCACTAAGGCATTGAGCTAGGGTTAGTTAAAGCCTTGAAGGGCTAGCACCTAATTATATTCTCAGAGTAACTGGGTTCAAAGTGTGTAGTGTGTAATCATTTCGACCTCCCCTTCCCCTTCTGAGATGGTGTCATCGTCTCACTCAGGCTGAAGTGACCCACGATCTCAAAATTTATTTGACGACGATATCAGTTAATGTGGTGTCCATTGAAGATGTTATTCGTCATAATCTAATAACAATCTCATAAAAAAACAACTTTCATAGTTTTTCTCGATGGCGGAGCGAGGAATCTGACTGAGGGGCGATTAACTTGAATCATAATGATTGAGAGAGAAAAGTTAATGTCTTATCAACTACTCTACTTTCTAAATTTGATACAAATTTTACATATAATGTTATCTATATTTCAAATTTGAAAGTGCTATAACCCTATAACTTCAACATACCTCCTCAACTGATGTTTCCTCTTAATTTGTAAATTTTTTTTTTCTGAATTTTCATTAGAGTTCTCAGTTCTATGATAAATTCTTCCACCACCTTTTCCTGTCCCACTTTGAGATAAAGCACGAAAGCAAGGGAGGAGTGAGTGGGGCGGAAAAAAATAATAACAACAACAAAAACATTAAAGAAAATGTAAAGAAAAAGAAGCCAAAGAAAAGAGAAGACCCTCCAAACAAGAAAAAAAAAAAGCTTAAGCCAATAATAAAAGAAAGAGAGCAAGAAAGTTTGAAGTAAAGACAAACAAAAGCCTCTCTTCTCCTTCTTCTCCCTCACACTTCATTTAAATTCCTTCAAACAACACCACAACTGAAAAAAAGGAGGAGACTTTCCCTTAGGCAAGAAGAAGAAGAAAACTGGAGAAAAGGGTTTGCTATGAATCGCGGCCACGTGTTGCAGAGCTCGCCGGTGCAGCAGCAGCAGATCATGATGGCGGGCGGCGGCGGCGGCGGCAACCCTAACTGGTGGAGTACCATCAATAACATGAGGCCTCCGCCGCCAACCACCACCACAACGTCGTCGCCTCATCACCACCAGCTTCTTCCCAATAATAACTTCTTCCCAAACAACTACTCGTCGTCCCTTTTCCCTATCCATCTCGCCCCTTCACCTTCTTCCTCCTCCTCTTCCTCCGCCTCCTCACTTCCTTTCCCTTCTTGGCTCGACGGCTCTACCGCCGCCGCCGCCGCCACCGCGGCCCAAGACCATCAACAACAACTTCCTGAATCATGGAGCCAACTCCTCCTGTAAATATACCTTCTCATCCTCTCTTTTTCCATAATAGATTGTGATTTTATATTCATCTGAAAAGAAATGATGGATTCATATATTCCGTTCCTCTTCTTTTCCTCGCCCAACTTCGTTTTTCTCTCGTAGTTTATTTATCAAACCGAAAAAAGGAATAACTTCTCATATCTCTCCCGCAGTGTCTTCCCTCGTGTAACAAGCAAAACCAAAACTACAGACGGAAATTATATAAGATCTAATCTGAAAAAATCGCTTGTAATCGCTTTTGGAGTTTATGTATATTCTGCGACGACGCGGAGTATAGTTTTGTGTATTATTTTTCGCGTATGAAAAATTGGTGATAGAAAATGGTATAAGATCCAAATCTGATTCGTCCCAATTTTTTCGTTGTCTGAAGGGGAGGATTGATGGTGGGGGATGAAGAGAAGAACGGAACGAACCAATTATTGAACCACTTCCAACAAGCGAGCAAGAAGTTCGAGGACGAGCACTGGGAAGATCATCATCACCAGCAGCTGATGCTGAACAACAACGTCGTCGATGTGAAGCAAGAGAGCTCTGCCGGAAGCTATGGCGGCCACCACCATGCAAACGAAGACTTCCACCATCAAGCTGCGGCTGCTAATTGGTCTCACCAAATCATGGCTAATAACAACAGCAACTCTCCGTCTCCCAACTCGGCAAGCTTCACTAGCAGCTTGTTGGACTTCTCCACCACCGCCGCCGCTGCCAAGCAGCTCGGAGTTGGGCACCCGCCGGCGTCGGAGGTACATACCATACTCCATACGTATAGAGTAGTAATTACTAGCTCGCTACTCGCTAGGGTTTACTATATATATATATATAGTAATCCTTTTAACATTTATTAACTAGTTGAGTTGTTAATTAATATGTTGCTTTGGTGGAAATGCTACTTTTTTCTTCCTTTTCTGAAGTGGGTTTTCTGGTGATGATGATTATTGATCATAAAAAAGCTGGATTAGTCTCCCTAAATCATGATTAACTATATTGACTTTTGTTCCCCCTTTGTTCTGCTTTTTCTTTGATTTAATAATGAATTAGAGCAACAGCACTAATGGAACTGGGGCAGCAAAGAAAGCTAGGGTTCAACCTTCTTCTTCTTCTACTGCAACCCAATCTCCCTTTAAGGTAATTAATGGAGATTAAGCTCATAGCTGCTTATTATGTATTATTGTATACAGTTTTTTTTTCTTTCTGTTTCAATTAAAAAATATTTGGGGGAAATGAAGTATTTTGCACAGAATCGCATGTGTATGGAGACATACATAGATATGAACAAACACACCCAAACAACTACAAAAGGGGATGGTGGCTCTCTATTGTCTTTCTTGATTGTCTATTTCTCCAAAGTAACGTGATTCCTTTCACCTTACATATTATTGGCCACAAAGAAAAAAAGATGGTATATAAAAATAAATATTTCATGAAGAATAAAATTCCCATTAGGAACTTACTTGTCATGTTATGATTCATTCTATCAATTGTATTTGCTAGGTGAGAAAGGAGAAACTGGGAGATAGAATCACTTCTCTTCACCAGCTTGTCTCTCCATTTGGGAAGGTTTGTATACTCATAGCTTCTTGCTTAAATCTCAGTCAAACCCATATTATTGAAAGGGACTTGTGTTTACTAATGGGTAAGTGTCAGAACAGAACAGGTTAAATGTCACTTAATCACTAATATCTTGCAATCTCAAATATCGAATACAAACCGATGATCATATACCCATCAACAAACATGCTAACCGAGTTGGAGTTGTATCTATATATATAGCTAGCTTCTCTATTTGGGCTTTCCTTCAAATCCACCTTTACCAATTTAGTTTCTGTTGTTTCTTGAAAGCTGTAAAAAGAAGACAAGGGAACTAAAGAAAGAAAACATATGGGTTTGGATGTTTGTGGTGTGATACGGCGGTTCATTATTAATTTTTCATTTGTTTCCTCCTCCTTTTGCAGACTGACACAGCTTCTGTCCTGTTGGAAGCGATAGGGTACATCAGATTCCTTCAAAGCCAAATTGAGGTGATGTTTCTTTCTTTCCCTCCCCTCCCACTGTTATTTATCCTTAAAAAATTAGAATTCCAGACAACCATGCAAATTCCCAGAGGTCCCCCTTCCCCTTTCCCTAAAAATTATTTGCTCAACAAAAACCAACCATTAAATCGTAAAACCGATAGCATTCCTGAAATTGCAGGCTCTCAGCTTGCCCTACTTGGGCAGTGGATCCTCCAACATGAGGCAACTTCAGCAGCAGCAACACCACCACCAACATTCTGTAAGAGAATTTTATTTCTTATGTTTTTTTTTTTTATACATTTCAAGTCCCTATGCCCCTTCTAGCAGAAAAAATCTGAGTCATGCTGATTTATTCTCTGCACGCGTGGATAGAAGAATATGATTATTTAATTCACAAAAGTGATGATTTTATTATCATGATCCTTTCTAGGGTCATTTGAGTATGTAAATGATAAAAACATTGATTCATACATATGTAGGTTCAAGGAGAACGAAATTGTGTCTTCCCAGAAGACCCTGGTCAGGTAATTTTCTACTTTGCTTTATTGGATCAGGGCTTGAAAGGTTAAAAATGAAGAAAGAAACTCCTGATTTGGTTCATAAATATAACTGTGGATAGTAAAAGGTAAAAATAATTGATGAATTCCCATAAAAGAGCACTTCCTGTTGCATGCCTTCTTCTTGAGCTTTACAAAGGGTGATCAAAGTTGGGATCTTTAGGTTTGAATTGTATAATGTTTAAAGTTGGGTGAGTGAAAAAGCAAATAAAAGAAAGAAAAAAAAGCTGATCCTTTAGTGCAACTTTTTTCTTTGACCAATACAGCTCTTGAACAACGATGGCAGCAGCTGTCTGAAGAGGAAAGCTGCAGCCTCTTCTGATCATCAACAGGTCCAACCCTTTTCTTTTCTGGTACCTTAACTTTGATGCATGTTTACGGATCGGTTACTAATTTATTGATCCTTACACTTTGGTACATTAAATTTGGTTTGTAGGACTTCAATGAGGAGCCAAAGACGGATTTGAGGAGTAGAGGGTTGTGCCTCGTCCCACTCTCTTGCACATTGCAAGTTGGCAACGAGATTGGGGCAGATTACTGGGCTCCTTCCCTCGGTGGAGGGTTCCGATGAACGCTCCGACGAGCAATGTGTCCAGTCTAGCTCTCTTGGTGTGTCACCGGAATCGTCCTAGGGAGGGAGATTGAGAGAGAAAGTTAGGGATCGAGATCGAGAGAGCCGATAGTGAAAATGATATAACATCATGAGCAGTCAATCTGCTCAAGTGAAATTCCAAGGCTGATTGCTCATGATGCTATACAACTTCTGCCATGGTCTAGCTACTAGTCAACTAAGTTTGCTCATATTACCAATTATCTAGTTCTTAATTTTTCGCATTAGTTCCTAATCCCTGGGATATGATGTATAAGCACGTACGGTTTAATTGATTAATTGCAATTGCAAGCCTTCAGTGTTCAGTCAGTACATGTTTAATTATATGTGGAGAATCTAGTGGTTTAGTTATCGTTAGAGCAAAACTGATTATGAATTTGTGTGGCTATATATGCTCTTCTAGTTTTGATGCAACAATAGGTAGCACATAACTAGGCTCAAAACATAAGGTTTATTAATTTCATCCAAATACTACATCGAAAATATAAGTAAGAGGAGTATTAAATGTTAGTGCCTATCAAAGCCAATCAAAGAAAATATCGTACTTAAAAGTTCAATAAGGCAAGCTAGGCGGACATTGGAGCCTTGTCTGGTGCCTAGAGCGTCTAAGTGTAACATCTTGTTCCGGCAAAACCTATATTTTGAGCGCTAGAAAGTTCGCGATTTAAAATTGAGTGTTTTGATAGTATTTTGACAAAAATCGGATTATCGATCGGATAAGTATACGTATTAATTATTTATATTATATAATATTTTATATATATGGTGACTACTTCGGCGCACTCACAAAAATGAGTGCGTTCAATGCACCCAACTCAAAAACTATTCTTAAGGAGTCGGATTTTGAATTTTAATTTGTAGAATTAGTATAATATGATGATATAACATATGATAACAACTAATTAGCGGATTACCCTAAGCCCTAGACCTCCAATTTTGAGTTCTATCCCTAAACCCCAAACTGTAAACCCTAACCCTAACCCTAGATCTTTAAACTCTAAATCCTTCAAATTAAAGCAAATCTTTCATGGTTTTTTGTGCAAATTCATGTGCGTTATTGTTCATCACATCATAAGTGATGATTAACATCATTTTGACATAAATCTCATGTTTAAAATGATGATTATGAAGCGAGTGCACTGAATGCACCCAAAAAAGTGAGTGCACCGAAGACGCCACCATATATATATATAAAATACACTGTCCATTTAATTCCCCACGCGTCCCATTTTCTTTCCATCATCATCGTTGCATTCTTTCTTTCCTAGACCGAGAGAACTGGAGTAGAGGGCGCGCAGGAGAGGTGAGCACGGAAATTCTCAGAGCTCAAATCTTAAGTTTTAATGATCCAAAAATTCCGTAAGTAATGCCTAATTCATCTATACATCGTGATTTATCGATTTAGAGCTTTAAAACGAGTTTTTGGTTCAGGAATTTCTTGAATTCCCGATAAGCCAAATTAGGGTTTCTGAGTATTCGGAAGCCGGATTGAGCCCAAATTTCATATACGAGCTTCCTGCAGCGAGGTAATCAATCCTCTAATTCTAATCCATGAATTTCGGCTATTATTTAGGTCGGGGTCCAAACCGCTGAATTTAGCTCCGGCCAGGGTTTGATGTGTTTTTATCAAGAATTTGACCCGGAGCCTAAACTAATATCGACGGGGATACTGCAGGGGATATTAGGACGATCTCGGATTTTAATTCGGGGTTCGTTCGTGAAATTGACGTTTTAGTACGGGAAGGTTAAACCGGTGTTTGAACGACCAGAACTGGTGAGGGATTAGCACGGCATACCGGGTTTGTCGTATCACGATAATTATATTGATGCTTAGAATTGATCTAGGTGAACTAGAATGACATGATTAGGGGTGCATGAGCTTTTGTGCTATATGATGAACCTTGGACTATTGTTTGATATTATTGACTTGCCCTAATCGATATGAACCTTGTTTATGTGGATGATTGCATACATGTTGCCATTTGTGGCTTAATTGTTGATATGACTTCATGGTTGTTCGATAAGGGGTTTTGACATGGTGTGATATTATGGTTGTATTTGGATCCATAAGTGGGGGAATAAACTTCCCAGGGTGATATTATGATGTTTAAGGAGGATGACTTGCACGAGGGTTTATCCCGAGGAAGTGCAATTATACGACTCCTGATTTACCTATGTTGAGCCAATTATGGCCAAGTCAAGTACATGTGCAAGTAATTAATTATGATTAAGCAAGATGAGATATGAATCATGTATAAGGATACCAAATATGAGTGTTGTGGTCTCACGGTCAACTACATAGTAATTAGGGCTCCCTATGCTATTACTCTATTATGATATGTATGATAGTCACACCTCTCACGTGGTGGTGACAGAAGAATTCTTATGAGATATGACCACACCCAGAGCGGTGTCGGGGTATGACTACACCCATAGTGGTGTGGGGTATGTATGACCACATCCGACGGGATGTTAGGGTATGTATGACTACATCCGACGGGATGTGGGGTATGTTTCCCGGGAGAGTTATTAGCATGAGAGTAGCCAGGCGCCTATGAGTAAAACATGATAAGATGCATATGCATAAGTGAAGGTGGTTGACTCTTTTGCCTATTGGGATGTCGGAGGGCTGAGATCTGATCCTAGTGCTTTGGCTTGTTTGCTAGATGTATGGTAGTGGTATGCTATGTTATGAACTCACGATGCTATGATTATCTCACTCAGCCATGAGCTGACCCTCTTTTATTCTTCTTATCTGCTTATGCTATGTGTAAGCAGATCATCGGCATCAGTAGATAGGTGTATAGGTGGGAGTTGAGCAAGAGTTGAAGGCAAGATGAGGTATGGTCGTCAACCATTCTGTGCTTGGACTACTACTCGGGATTTTGGCCAGTGATCCACACCTTTTCGTAAAAATGTTTTGAGAACATTTTTCATGTGCATACTAGCTTCTGATGTAGTGTGAGATATCCATAGGTGTGGAAAGTTGATGATATGTGTATATTTTTGTAATTATGTAAGTTGTGACGATTATGGCTTGTATCAGTATAGTATGCAGTTGTGTAATATGAAACTGTGACTATGGCTATGAAAGCCAATGCTTATGGTTGTGAGTATATATGTTTGTGATGAATTATTTTGCAGGATAAGTTGCAAGAACTGTTAGCCCATTACGCGAGTAATTCATGTCGAAATTTTATTTAGGTAAATTTTGATAATTAATGTAACACCCGAGATTAATTCCGCTGCAATTGTATGAACAATATGATTAGGCAAAACGTATAGGGTAGGGTGTTACAGTTTGGTATCAGATTCTGGTTCCCTCTTTTTGTTGTTATGGTGTACTATACCCTATGGAAGGTTAAACACTCCTAAGGAGGGGAGTACCCCATAATGACTTAAACTGGGAATTGAGTTTGACATGATTATGTGTAGTGGTATATTGGATGAAATTACCTGCATCATAGTTTTCAAAATTGAGTTTTGAACTTATTTTTTTTCAAGTAATTATTTTGGGAAAAATTTTGTTTTAACCAAGTGAGATTTGGTGAAGAAAGAATTTTTGTGTGGATCAATCTAAGGCCAATATTTTCTTGTAGCTCGCACGGAAGTTGTGAAAATGTTCCTACTGACCTGTCGAGAGGAGTGGGGGCGGTTGATGCAAGACCGCCAGTATTAGACTATGCAAAGATGAAGAGTTTGGGTGGTAGGGACTTCAAGGGAGATGTGAGTCCAGATGCTGTAGTAGAGTGGCTGAGAGAGATGGAAGATGTGTTTGAATATCTTTATGCAACCCCAGAGGAAAAAGTGCAATATGTTGTTTTTCTCCTAAAGGGGTATGCGAGGAGCTGGTGGTCCTCAGTCTCTAGAGTTAATGGTGAACGAGTTCAGTTCACCTGGGAGGAGTTCCTGAAGGCCTTTAAGACAGAGTTTCTTCCCGAAGCTTTTATCAGGGCAAAGAATAATGAATTCGCCAACCTTAAGCAAGAGAATATGACAGTTACTGAGTATACCATCAAGTTTGTTCGACTACTCTACTTTGAAGATGGGTTGGCGGATACTGAGCATAAGAAGAAGATGAGATACTTGCATGGGCTGCGCCTAGGGTTGAAAGAAAAGATCCACAGGGTTGATGAAGAGAGCATGGCCACTATCAAGGAGGAAGCACTTAAGTATGAAGCCTATGAAGTTGAGGGTAGAGAGGAAAACAAAACCAAAGAAGAGGAGAAGAAGAGGAAGTTTGGAGTAAATTATGCTGGACCTCGTTACCCACCCAGGAGAGGTCCTAGCAGTTTTGGGCGAACACCGAGTCAATCTATGTCAGGAACATCATACAGGGCACCAATTTCCTCAGCCACACAATTTCCATTTTGTCAAGTTTGTCAGAAGAGGCATCTTGGAGAGTGTAGGAGATTTTCTGGTGTATGCTTTCACTGTGGCCAACCTGGGCACATCATGAGGGACTGTCTGCATTCGAGAGAAGTAAGAGCTACACGGTCCGAGCCTTCAGTGCAAATTAGTAGAGTCCCATTCAGGGGTGGTTACCAGGGAGGCCGTAGTGGATTTCAGAGTGGTCGTGGTGGTTCACAGGGTGGTAGAGGTGGTGGTCGAAATCAGCCATCAGGAAGTGGTACGCAGGGTACCAGAGCACAGGGAGCACCGAGGGTTTATGCAATGACTCGAGGGGAGGCAAAAGTGTCACCAGAAGTTGTGACTGGTATGCTTTCTATCCTTGGCAAGCAATTATATGCTTTGATCGATACTGGTTCCTCTCACTCATTCATGTCATATACGTTTGCACATATGCTACACTTAGTTCCAGATAAGCTAGGTTATACCTTATGTGTTAAAACACCTGTGGGAGATACCTTGAAGGTAGACTCAGTTATTAGAAGTTCCTTCATTTGTGTGGAAGGAGCTTTCCTAGCAGCAGATTTAATTCTGCTACCTTTTGATGAATT